ATTGTTTTAAACTATTAACTTTCCATGTATCACATACATTTTTGTCACTACCAACATTTCCTTCATCTGTATGCAATTGTTAAATTGTTTATTCTCTTTTGTTAATTCACTACAACTAATTTTTTCAAGTTATGTTTCATCTATCCATCCATCACTTTTGGGGACGACCTCTCTAGGTCTCATTAACATTACATATTATTGTTTGATATAGACTATGTATACTATGTAGACTATTTACTTTTTAAGGACTTGATTTAAGGTGACTTGGCTAAGTTTTAGGTCACTAAGGCTCAAGCCTCCCTCTTATTTTCTCAACTGTCGCCTTTATATTTATAGTTCCCGATATTTTCATAGCATGTCCAATATGAAAATCATAACATTATCTATGCTTTCATAATATGTATTATCGTCAGTACTCATGTCATTCAGGAGCAGACTCGGGATTATTCAGCCCACTGTTCTAAAAAATAATGGGAACTAAAAATCATCCCCAGTCTAAGTATAGTCAACTCTGTAGCAAAGACTAAAATTAACTAATAAGATTTCTTGACATTTTTATTTAATTATATATAAAAAAATATTGTCTGATGGTACTACTGGGTATATTTCTGTATATCTTAACATCCTGTCTTTTGTATGAAAATCGTTTTTGATTGTTCTGAAATTATTTGATCTTTTCCTAAATCACAGTTGGACGGATATAATATTAAGTTTATACTGAATTATAACTTGGAAAAAAATAATAAGTGTGTATTTTATTCGTTTAATAATAAATTAGTTTTAAAATGTTATTTATTATTACTATTTTTTTTTTTGAAGCTTCACGCGAGCCATTTAGGATCTTTGCTTCTTAAATTTACACCATATTTACTTTACATAAATTGGGTAAAAGTTTACGTTTCAATTCAGATTTAAATCTTTTTTTGTCTTAAATCCATGCTTTCCGAGCTGTTCCATTCGTTCCTTAAGGGAATGTCAAACTTTAAAATATTATATTTTATTAAATACTAAAGCGAATTAGTTATAAACCCATTAATTCGCACGTAAAATACGATTTAAAAGGAGAACTATAAAATATTTATTATTTTTTCCCTCGAGATTATTAAACACAAGTGACAAGCACTCTGTTTTAATTGATATATTAACTGCAGTGAATCCCGAACGTTGTTCTCTTCCGTTTGAATTCGACATTTTCTAAACATTGTAATGCAATGAAGGTAATTATTGAATAATAATTGATCTGATTTTCGTATTCAACTATGAAAACTCTATACAGTTTTCAAGTGAAATTATTTAATATGTGGGCGATAAAATTGACAACGGGTGTCCTGTAATTTAGTTACCTAATATCGTAGGTATAATATTAAGTAATTTTAAACGGATTTTGACAGTCAGCGACGTGTTGCGACGTTGCGTTTTATAAGAGGCGAACGTTTCCCGACCGGGGCCCCTATAATTAATTACTAAAAACTTAATAAAACCCCCTTATTATAATTCTAAAACAAATTTGTTCTAATAATATTACTATTAATTATGAATTGAACATTTACCTTAATTTATGTAAACTACAGACTATGAAATTGTAATATAAAATCTGTGGTTTTAAAAAAAAAAAAACGATGATAATGGTTGTTTTTACGAAACTAACTCGTAAAAATCACGAACTATAATTATTGTAAGTTACGTTTATATAGGTGACAATTAATAAAAACGTTCGGTTTGAATGTTTCGAAAAATCTTAAACCGAGCTTTACTTTCTTTTTTTTTTTTTTTTTTTACGTGTCTGGCACATTGCCGCACATCGGAGGCAATCGAACTAGGCAATCCGATTGCATCTGGTCCCCGCTGTCACACCGAACCGTATGCGCGCGCGGCCAAACTCGCGAGCCGCGCGTGTGTGTTTGTTTATCGTGCGGGCTTTCCACGGTACTTTTAATCAATATATACTGTACCTCTCCGCCGCCGCCACCTGACGGACGTTTTATTTTTATTATTATTTTTTTTAATTTTCGTATTGTCTTCCGAATCGCGAGCTGACCGGAAGTCCGGTGACTCATATCCCTCCCAGCCACATCAAACCGATGTTCCGAACTGTATTCGGACGAATCGGCAATAATAATTATCGGAATTATTCTTTTGGAAATTTCCTGTCTTCGGGTTCACACATCACGCACGCGCGTGTTTGTGGATTGTTTTCATTTTTATTATTATTTTTTGTTTTTAAGTTCAAAAAACGCGATCACGGCATTCGATTTCGTAAATAAATACTATTCATTCGTAATACAGATTTAAATTGTACAACAACTAATTATCCGATTCTTCTATGAGTAAATCTGAACCTTGGAAGCCAGATATTATATCCAGAAGCCGAATTTTATTGATTGACCCTTAATATACTTGTATATGCCACGTGACAACATGAAAAATATTATTTGAAATTTATCGTAGATTTTTTCTAAAACAAACAGAATGGTTTAACGTCGTTCCAGAATTCATGGAACAAACAAATATTTCATTGGTTATAACATAATTAATAACATAATAGTACCTGATATCAACGAAAGTACGATATTGATTGAATATGTATTGTACATCTTAATTTTTTATAAAAGGAGGTTTTTATTCATTAATAGCGAAATACGAACGTAAACATTATTGTTAATGATGAATCACGACGACGTATACTGTTTAGCATGAAATATTTAAATGGAAATAAAATGCATTCTTTTCTTATTGTTGTTCTCGTTTTGCACCGTTGTCGTGAAATATCCATTTCCATATTACAGTGGTATACTTTAACCTATTATATAACCTTTTAATAATAATATGTTTGCTCGGCGTTTAGCGTTACGTTTTTTTTATTATATTATAAACGTACCTACGTATGTTTTTATACGTTTTACCGACTCTAATCGACTGTATGAAATATAGTTAACACAGTCGAAAAAGGTTTTTGGTTTTTCAAGTATTGTTATGTATTATAATATTTATATTATAGGTGCCTTTATGATATTTTAGTACTCAGAAATATAGTGAAAGTAATTATTGTTATAAAAGAAAAACCAAAAAAACCTAAAATAAAAAGATAATGGGTATTAGACAAATGTTGAAGGTAGAATATTAATATATTATATTATAACATTAGATTACTATAATTATAGTAATCTAATTTATTAACTATATACAACAATAAATCACTGTAGACGAAAAAAAAATCTGAGCGGATTTTTGAGTCATTTTTTTTTTTTTTGTAAAGCTATAAAGACTTCTTACAGGGTGAATTAGATTTGGATTTTAAAAATTATTTCACTAAAAGTTATAATTCGAATTTGAATATAATCAATTTTTAAAAATTGTTAAACTTATTTTTTTTCTTTTTTGTGACTTAATCAAAATGTCCTCTATATCCAATATGATTTCTACTGAGTGGTAGAAAGTTGTTTTCTTCCTAAAAATAAAATTGAAATTTGACATAAGACGAGACAGGTGAGTTAGCCATGTAAAACGAAATAAAAGGGTTCTGCGCGGATCTTTTAATACAAAAATTAAAACTGAAAGCATTTTTTGTTAAGAATTGGTAACATTCGTAAGCTAAGCTAAGCTAAGCTTTACTTAATCTTACATTATCATTAAATTAGAATGAAATAAGAATTGTACCGTTAATGGTTTATTGATGGCATCACTGATTTTTAAGGATACCCGTCTAGTTAAATTAATTCCAAACAACTTCATCATTGATGATCCTTAAGGTATTCCATTAAAATTACAAACTCTTCATCAAAGGATAAATTAACATTTATATGACTTCAAGTTTATTACAAATCAACGAAACGTTAAATAAAACTAAAACAGTAAACAATATAACCAAAACCAAAATCGAAACGAAAACGAATTTATACTTACTTTAATTATAGTAGTTTGTAAATCGTAAACTGTAATTAGTATTGATAACATACTTATGGAATTCTTTCTGTGGTTTCTGTGCGATTTCACCACCGATTTAATCTTTTTCAAGGAATCAAAAGCCGGGAGCTGGGTTCCGTTTTTCAATAATTTCATTTACATTTGTATCCATATTTATTTTTTTATTAATTACCTAAGTAAATATTAGTTTATGCACTTGAATTAACTAGAAATATATCTATTTGAAATGTAATATAGTAATTATATTACTATTATCACAATAGCATAGCACGGATATGGATGTTAATCATTAAAGACCGGATTTAATTGATATCGCAACTTAAATATAAAAATAAATCAGATCTGATTAAATATATAGCCGATATTTATTAAAAATATCTGCCTATTTAATTTTATAATACAATTTTTCGCAAATTTCCGTTCGTCTGGAATTTTCTAGAAACTTGGAGAGCCCAGCGAGTGACAAGCGTCTATATATATATATGGTGGTAATTAAATTAAACGTAGTAGTACAGCGATTCGTCTGCGTTTACCCGTTGTTACCTTAGTACCTATTTTTTTGATCAGTTTGACCGCACAGTGAACGTATTGCCTAAAATAAAATCAACTTTAAAAAGTAAAATTTCTAATTAGATTGCTCCTTACAATGAAAATAAAGAAGTATTTTCATCAGATGGAAAGGTTATATATTGTCTCGTTTGTAACAAATGTGTGTCTACTGAAAAAAAAAATATCTAATAAATCATCATTCCAAAACAAGTAAGTTTTGTATTTTATACTCATACTATATGTAATGTACTAAATATTATTTCAAAAAAAAAAAAAAAAAAATGTATATTTTTAAATGCATTAAAAAGGAATAAAGAAAAAAACAACTTTTGATTACTTCTCAAAATTCAAATAGTAAAAGTGTATTTTTTGAAGATTTATGTAATGCATTTGTTGCTGCAAACATTCCTTTGCATAAGCTGGGCAATCATGTGTTAAAATCATTTTTGAAAAAACATACTGGCAAATCAATTCCGGACGAAAGCACTTTAAGAAGAAATTGCATACCAAATATTTATAAAAGCATTATGGACCAAATAATTAGTGAAATAATTGTTGACGAAACAACCGATCCAAGAGGTTTGTATAAATAATTTTTTTAATTTCTCATATAATAAAATGTACTATTTTCGTTTAGGTTTGGCTATTGCAAATTTATTAATTGGTAAATTAGATGGGACGCCTAGTAAATCATATTTAGTTGCATGTAAAGAACTAGAATCCACCAATTATGAAACTATTTGTCAGTTTATTAATGCCTCGTTAAAAATATTTCCTGATATTGAACAAAAAGTATTGCTTTTTATTAATGTGTTTACCCGAGGTGGCTTTCCATAAATATCAATAAGTTGTTTACAATATATCGCATGCACTTTATTTATTATGCATAGATATATTTAGTATATAAAATCGTTACAATTATAAATATGTTTTAAAAAAAAGTACAATTTATTAATAAATTAGTAGTATCTCTGTAGTTCATAATACTCCGTTTCATTAATATTATTACAGCGTGTTGTTATTTTTATTCATCGTTGATACGGTTATTAAGCGGCCGTTTCAACTTAAATTTGTATTTTGTAACAGGTCGGGAATTTTCGATTAAATAAGATTAAATAATCCTTTTTAAATTATTTTCACGCGGCCCCGTGATTATTTGGTCTTCGGTTGGCCCGGGCAAATGTTGACCCAGAGACCCTCACTTCCCCCCCCCCAACCCCTATTAACGGGCTCGGACCCTCACGTCCGTATCAAACACTGTAATACTGTTTCGACGAACCGCACGGAAACGGCAGTTTCTTTGCGAAATGATATAATATTGTATTGTAACGAGCGGCGAAATAACGTCATTCGAGAACCCGAACGATGAATATTGTACACATGTAGTATACCTTATGCATATATATATATATTATTATCTTCGAAGACGCTCGGCGTATAATAATATTCCCGAAAACGGATTACGCACTTGGCGGATCGGTAAACGCGCGTGCCGCTCGTAGATAAATCGGATCGCACAAAGGCGATACGTATACGTACGTATCGTATAATAATAGTATATAACTTACGCTCACAGAGAGAGCCACTGTACAATATATCGTGTATTATATTATGTTTTCCCGGTGTAACGTTACACGTGCCCGGCGGATGGAAACGCGCCCGCGATACACGCATGTATAGGTTCGCTCAGCGAGCCGTATTATCGATTTCCGCGAAAATATTATTATTGTGTTCGATATGAAATTATTTTTACCGCGCGCGGTTTCGTACGCTCGTGTGTGCATGCATAATTTATTATACACCACGACGTCCGGGGATCAAACGCTCGTCGTTTTTCTACACCGGCAAATGTGAATAACCGAGAAAAACATGGGAAAACGGGAAAATCTGACTGATATTAAACATATATTACTAAAGAAAACAATGCCTATTTAATTGTTTTATCATAATATGACATATAAATTGTTGACGAAGCGTCACTATCAACTGAACTCCGCTCAGAATCGTTTTTTTTTTTTTTGCTAGCAATGGTTTATCGTTGCTTACAGATATACATTAAATTCCCTTCTGTGAACTACTTTCCCAACTTCCCGCCTACAACAGTGGCTGCATAATATTTATCGCGTATATTTGTCACATAATTGATGCCAATATGCCATAGACAAATATTTCAAAAGAATTTGTGACCGTTAAATGTACAAAAATAATGCCCTTATAATTTAGTCACAAACACCCGTAGTGACTTTAAATTTGGACAGAGGCCCTATGTTTGCCTTTTCCGGACAAGGTAAAACTTTAAAATCTTTCGAGTCATATTTGAGTTACCTATTTATAGACATTTTAATATTATGCGAGTAAATGTTATTTGGTAGGGACTCTGTGGAGAACATTGATACAACAGATATGCTTGAACATTGAGCGGGAGGTCGTTTATAAGTTGTACTTTGTGGTCAAAACAATACAAATTTCATTTAATGAAGTATTAATTAATGTATGTATATTTTTTTTTATAGGAATTTTAGTATAAAATGTTGACGAAAATCGTTTTAGTAAAAATTATGTGGAACAAACCTAGTTATTGGTCCATATAAATTCTTTCAATTTATATTTATTATATTATATAATAACCTATATTGACGTACCTATATTGTTGAAAAAGCAATACACCAAGATCCACTCAGAATCGTTTTTCGTTGGCAATGATTCATCTGTGCTTACAGATTTACATTGAATTCTCCTCTATATCCTTCCGTCCTCATTTTTCATATCGTGCGTGGTATGCCCGTTTTTTAAATATTTAATCTTATTTAAAATTCTACGAATTTCGTCGATATTAAATATCTTTTGAAAGGCGCGCATAGTAATAATAATAATAATCGTATACTCAAATTAACTTTAAATACGTTCGCTAATTAGATTTTGAATATGCTTCAAACAATCAGATAAGTTTTCCTCGTTTGCAATCTTTGGGCATATTATTTTGTATGTACGTATATATAAGTATAATGTATATTATATATACATAAGTATAAAAACTTTTTCAGCGCAGTTCAGAGTAATAGTCTCCCGGGCGAGTAAAAACTTGAACGAATAATAAAACGAAAATAAGTAGAAACTTACCGAAATTCGTTACCTAGTTTTTGCTGAGTATATTATTTAATTAGATTCTGACAAAAACTGCGCTCGTAAACTCCTAGAGTTAAACGCCGCCGTAGCAATTCACTAAAATAATTCTTGAAAAGTTAAGGTCTATGAACGTAAATAAACGTTTTTAAGTGTATACGTTAGTACGAATTCATTAATTAAAAATAATCTCTTATGTGTTATCTATTAATGAGTTCGTAGTGGATTTCAGAGTTGTACACTATTTATAAATACATTCGGTGGGGGGAGGTGTTTTGGAGGATATGGGAGAAAAAAACGTTTTGGCATTGTACAAATATATTTTTCGCATGTCTTTACATAGTTATAAATTACAATTCTGATCGGAATTTAATTTAATATTAATAAGAAATTACTCGTTAAAAACTACGAATAACATTAATACATTGTATTAAATTGAATTAAATTAGATGTTATAAAATACACATAGTATATACATAACACATATACAGATATACTCATAACATTGTTCAATTCATTTTTTTTTTTTTTTTTAATTAGAAAAAACTTTACAATAGATATCATATAGTGATAGATAATAGCAAGAATGAGGATTACAAGGATTTCAAAAATGTTTTTTTTTAGATGTTATTATATTTTTTTAATTTGGTCCTTCGCTTCAACACTTCTCTCCAACTGTCTCTATCTGTAGCTAACCCTTCACCGTTCAAGATTCCCAGCATAGTCAGGTTATTATGGACTCTGTCTATCCGTCTTTGTCTTGGACGACCGAGCGGTCTCCAACTGGCTACTTGGCCGATTGCCGGTTCTCGACCCCGCCATACATGTTCTGCCCAGCCCTAACCTCATCCTTTTAATCGCAGCTATTATGTCCGAATCCTCTAACATACTTATTACCTCTTTGTTCTTTCTTCGCTCGTATTTTCCCGTGTTTTGGTTTCTTCTGGGACCAAAAATTCGTCATAGCGCCTTTTTTTATTTTTAAATCTTGCTAGTTTTTGCACGTTTGTTTTTATTTGTGGTTTAGGTATAGCCCATTATAACGTTATTGGGCGTATACATTACTTTGTATTAAGTTAATTTAGATCTGACCGTCAAAAAGTCCGAATTCCGAATTCCGTTAAAAAATACCTATACCTAGATTATATTATGATATATCGACGAGTTGTGAATAATTTTGGTATTATTATTTTAGTTTATTTTTACAAAAATAAAACCACCACACGTTCGCGTGCTGTTTATCGCGTCTCGTCTTTTGCCCAACGGTATAATAATCCGATTTTGTTCGGAAATTTAAATCGGATCGCGTTCGTTTAACATGATTTTTTTTTTTCAAAGAATATCACGTTCAATTAAATTCCTTGTCGGCCGCGTTGCCTTATAACATAAATGTTCGGTAGTAAAATTCCGATAATATTTTTGGTTCAGTACGTTTCCGTCCCTATACATTTTACAGTTTATCGACAAAAGAAATTTAGCCTTTAATAGTATAGGTACTAACACGCCCGTTAAGGTCAAATATATATTAGTTTGTGATTCATCGTCGACCATCGTTTACAGTATTCGAATCTCGTGTTAATATTTTCAATTAGTAATAATGGCCAATGGCATAGCCAAATTTTTGGATTGGGAGGTACTAAATACGTTTTTGCTTGAGACATGGATGAAGATAGGCGGGGGAGTGAGTTTTAACTAAGAAAATGTATTATAGTATTTTTTTTTATCACGACATATTTTATGTTACACTTTAAATAAAAACGTAAACAAAAAAAAAACTTGATAATCACTGAAATAAAAGTATAATATATGTCTTGGCATAACTTGGAACTATATTTACTGCCCTTCCTAGTAGAATTTGTGCGAAGCAGTAATTTATATTATTTATATTAATGTTTCTTATTTTAATTATTTTAGTCGTGGCTAAGCAATTGAGTTTATTTATGATATATTACACCTTCTTAAATCTTTTTCAAACAACTCAGTGAAGAAAACTATCTTTTAAGAACGGAAGAAATAATTACAGAAACGTATAGTTAACACTCAAGTCGTAAAATAAAATATAATTTAGTTTTAAATGAATTTAGTTTTTACATAGTATACTATTACTATTTATATTTTAGCAAAATCACCCTTAAATCTAAAAATTCCTACATTACCTTTCAAAACAGTATTCTATCCGTGGCGGTACAAACTGTAAAGTACAAAATACAATTAAATAGACAACTGTTATTTTAGATAACTGAGCGAAGCTTACTCGCTTGGTTTATTGGATTACTGTGATGTGTGTGTTTTTTTCATTCTCTAGGTACAAGTCTTATTGTTTTAAATATTTTATTCAAAACACGGTTTCTTTAACTTTTTGTTGTTTGAAACGTGAGTTCAACATATTATATCAATTCGGCACCGTATGTCGTCGGATCGGCACGGATAAAAACGGATTTTGTTGATAACTTCGTTGGTTGGGTAACCGCGTTATGAAAAAAAACACATAAAACAAATAAATCTCTGTTATATAATTTACATCGAATTTCCGAACACCGTTAGCACCTGGCGGCATAACATATTATTATATTATTGAAACGACAATATTATTTGGACACACAATAATGTCGACCATTAATCCACTTCGAACCGTTAACACAGAAACGTTACGTTAATTTTATTACGCAGGTAATACGTTTAGCCCAATATATTACGCACATTTATATATTATATTGTCCAAGCAAAACGTCGACCCATTCGCAAACAGTATAATATTCTAAAAGCTTTATTAAATTGGTTTTATTGATAATTTTCCATTTATTTTTTTGTTGAAACAAATAAAGAACGTTTCCGTTTCAGTCGTGCATTAGGAATTGTTTTGTTAGAAAACCTTTTAGAAAACAATAGTAATACTCACTATAATATTATATTATAGTTCATTTAGATATATTATGTTATGGGCTTTTTAAACAATTTTCGAAAATAACATTAAAACATTGCTTACACACGGCACGATTATATTATATATGTAATATATATTTTTTGAGAAAGAGGAATCAAACATGTATACTACGGGCTATATTTTCTAAACAAAAAATTATATATTTTAGGAGGTGCCGAAGCCCAAGGAAGTTTTTCGTTCGATTTATTCAGACGATATTTTATCTCGCGTTTACGAACAATTTCTAGACGGATATGTGTGTTTTTCTCGCTATTTTTAATTTTATTTGACCTTTGACAATGCATATTGATGTGAAATTAATAGTTACTCGGATGGTTTTCGCTAAGGAAATTTTAGATTACTATTCGATTAATTTAACATAATCAAATAACTAACATTTCGAAAAGTATCACTTTTTTTGTTTGTTTTATCATTGAATTTAATTCTTTTTTAAATTCGATAAAATATTTACACATTGAAATCGAAAACTACACGTCATAACAACAGTGGAAAAATGAAAAAAAGGAACTATAAGGCCAACAAAAAATTAGCGTCCCTTGTAATGCTTGAACTCAACCTAACCAGTAAGGGCTTTGCTCTTCACACGTCTTCCCTCATCAATTTGTAAACATTAATCAATTATTGATAATTTCCGAAAACAAACACTATTAACACTAATGCAAGATTATTTAATAAATAATATTCATTTGAATTTCTACGATATGAGTTTTTATTATTATTTCTGTACATGAACAACTTTTCTATCAGAAATTTTGCTTAAATCATCTAATTTAGAGGTGATGGTTTCTAGTATAAGTGTTTATCTTATTTGTTAAAATTAGGTGATGTTTTTGTTTTATTTTTGGTATTATAGATAAAACCATAGAAAAAACGTCGGGGAAAACTTTTAACTGTTACATTTACACATTAACGGTTTCTGTTATAATCTATTTTGTCCATTTAGGTAAAATTAACTTTGTGTGCCGGAAATTTCACCTTGGTATAGTGTCTATTACGTAGCTATTTCAAGATATGGGTACAATATTTAAAATATTCTGAACATTTCTCAGTTATAGCCACTTGACATGTTTGATTTTTTTTGGTTTTATGTGCATTGTTTTGGCTTAAAGAAAATGCTTGACAATTTAATATGAGGTTTATTATGAGTTGCAATTAGTGGGAAAAAAAGTTCAGTGTATTGTAGTGATTTTTTAATATAAGATAATATAAGATAAGTTAATTATCTATTGGCCATGAAAAAAAATATATAAAAAATATTATTATGAATAATTAACTATATCAATACATTTTGAAAAAACTGTTCTAGGATAATGGGAATGGGTGCAACCACTGTTGTAGGTGATTCAATGTATCTGTAAGCACCGATAAACCATTGCTAACGAAAAAACGATTCTGAGCGGAGTTCAGTTGATAGTGATGCTTTGTTAACAATATATAATATATATGTCATATTATGGTAAAATAATCAAATAGGCATTTTATATTTTCTTTAATAATATTTGTTTAATGTTTTTGTCATTTGTTTGCCCGTTGTTCACATTTGTTAGGAAAACTTGTGAGAAAATCGAAAAATTATCTGCTCAAAGTACCTCCCCACACCGATTTACTTTCAAAAAAGACGCTACACTTAAAAATAGGAGCAAGATTTCTGGTACATTAGTTCCACACAGATAAAAAAAAAAAAAAAAAAAAACATCTTTGTAAAACTATAAGTTTCTTCTCTCCACTCAGAATCTAAAATTCCTATAAGCATTGTTAAATATTATTTTAGAAATAATTAAAACTTAAAATCATATAAATACAACGAAATTTTAATATATCACTAAGAAAAACAAAATTAATTTTATATTATGGAATAAAAATACAATTTAAAAGTATTTTTAAACTATTCAAAATACGTATAACCTAAAATATTTGAATACAAGTAGCTACTCGAATACTTAACAATAAGACTGGGTTAAATTAGTATATTCAAGTATTTTATATGTTAATCAACTAACGACTATTTGCGTGAACATATTAAAATTATACCTAATATATATTTATGTATTGTAAATTTGGCACGCCATGGCTAATAATTAAATTTAATCGTACGACGACGGTGTTATTTGGCATCAAAAATATTTAAGTAGTTCATACTGTGTGTGCGTATTTATTTGACTGTGTATTCTTAATAATAAACTACTAGCGTGCTACTGACAAATTGATTAGGTCCACTCAAATATATAAATATACGTATTTTTTTTTACTGTGTAAGCAATTGGACAATTTGATAGTTCTGTAGTCTGTACGTTCATTTTTATGTACCGGCGTCGTTTTGACCACAACATTAGGACGTGGGTTCATTTTTTCCGTGGAAATTTTTCGGCAATATTCGTGTGCGTACACACTCGTACAACGCGAGGCGGTGTCGCATTAGCGTTATTCCTAATCGATTGAGACTACCTATATTATTGGTGGATTTCCTTGTCGTATATGCGGTAGGGTGTTCGCAGGTTATTATGTATTCCTTTCGATAAAGCTATCGGAATGAATTCTTTTCGAGTCTATCTGCGGGAGGTTTTTTTTTTTTTTGTCACTTTTTTTTCCTTTCTTCCCTTCACTATATGCATTCGCATTTTCGCGTGTATAAGAATCGAGTACGGATAATATCGGATTTCGTCGAACGAATTGCGAGCCACAATATGGGAGGTAGGTATATGCTATATAGGTACCTGCGTGTACCACCGCAAACGCCATCGCGCGAAATGAAAAATACTCGTCGGGGGGGCGACAAAGGATATAATATAGTAGAAGGATAAAGAAAAAAAGTTCCAAAGGGGGGGGGGGGAAGAAAAAAAATACTTATATAGAAGAAAGAAATAACTCGTGGTGTGGCGGGGTACGGAATTCGGTGGTTATATATATTAAAACGGGAGAGTAAACGTACGGACGCGACGGCATCGAGTTTATTTTCTCAGTTAAAAGAAAATGTTTGATGTGCCAGTCCTTTAGAAATGCCGAGTTGATAAGATATTACTGCTGCATGCGGTGCGTGTGTGTTTAGAAACTTTATATAATAACGGGGGAACGTTAAAAATCGTAAACAAAAAAAAAAAAAAGTAAACGGAGAAAAATAAGAAGAAATACAACGTAGGTACTACACATTTTCGTCTCCGCACTTGTTTTGTATATTTTGCGGACGTTTAAACATGATGACGACAGAAACTTTTTATTTTACATCCCACCCTGCCAGCCATTACTTATATTATCATCGTTGGTTTTTGTTGCTGTGGGCTTAAAAATTATCACGAGGAAGGAAAATATATTATAACAGTTTATTTTATTGAAAAACGTTGTAAAAATGGATGTGTCCTATTTCAACACTTTCACTTACCGTAAACACCAAATTATTTCTAACGGACACGTATATAGGGGAAAAGGAGAGTTCAACACCTTCGAAATTTATTAATATATGTTTTTTTTTTTTAGATAACCTATAATATACGAGTATTTGTATAAATATAATCTTAAATCATCCCTGCCAAAATAATTTAAAGGAATCATTTTTCTTTTATAGGTTCTATCCGATATATTGATATGTCGATTAACAACAACCTAGTAGACGGTGAATCGCAGTGTCCGAATAAAAAAAATTTGCCTGTTCTGATCGAAACCACGAAAGCTGCTTTGCTTACAAACGAAAACATATTGGAGTCCATTTTGAAGGTCGTGTCACAAACGTGGAATAACATGCCAGTGATATTGTTTCTTAAGTTTTATCGTTTTTTTTTTCATGTTTAGGACGAGTCGTGTTCTGAAAACTCCCAAATGGAATATCAAATAAATAATTGTTTCGGATTGCGTTGCAAGCTTGACGATTATCAAGATGAACTAAAGGAACTGGAATTCAAGTATTATTACCAAGTAAGTACACAAAGTTATAATGATTCCACATTCACCGTTATAACGGTTATAAATGCGATGACGCAGGAGTCTGCGAATACTTTGATGGATTTTGTTACGATTATTCCCCGCGACCGGACGGATTTATGGCCCGAAGCTCTCGTCGTTGTTACGTCCGAAGAAGTCAAACAGATCTATATGCAACTTTTTCAGTATGTTAAACGTTCTCACCTATTTATTTTTTCTATTTTTTTTTAAACCACCTTTTAATAATTCTAATAACCGCTTTCTCGTTACTTTGTCACTGTATTATAGATAAATAAATTAAAAATCGAGAGAGGTTATCGGATTTTAGTTGACTATAGGAGTAAGTGTCTACAAAAGGGGGGTACTCATCATCTCAAAATTTCAGAAAAATGTAAATATACATATATACTAGGTTTAGAAGATATTTATATAGATTCTCCTCCATCCGATATTTTAGACTAGGAAATGAGAATAGGTTAGATATTATTGAGAAAAAAGTATTAAGGAAAATGTATAGACTTATGTGTAATCCCTATACTCAGGTTTGGGAGTAAAATATGACTAAAATCTTGAACTAAATAATGCATATTATAAGGAAGACTAGAAGAAATTATTATTGACTGCAGCCAAGGATCTGTATTGTAAAAGCAAAACAAATATTACACTATTATATCAATATATCATATTATACTCACAATTTGATCTTTTCATATTCATAAATTTAGCAGCACTACCATAACAGACACTTATCAAATACATCCAGCACATTAATTGTTGGTAATTTGTGGGACATTTTTTAACTACTCTCCGAATTTATTCGACTCTGCTTTAGCCGGTAAAGGTTTTTAAGTTTGTACATCAGTGATATTAAGCTGATTCCATTTAAAGTTCTAATATAGTGAATTTTGTTCGTACTCTGTGTATAAAAAAGAGCACAAATTTCATATTTTGTCCCAGATTAAAATAAAATGTAAATTCCATTACTGTGAATTTATTAGTTAAGTTACATCGGTTAAGTATAGTTGGCAGCACATAAATTGAAAAAAATTCCAGCTAAAATATTATAAAATAAAATTTTGAGAGTAGTCCAACGATGCACAAAAAGTTACCAACAAATTTGTCGGGTACCTATGTATTGATTTATTTATTGATTAATAACGGAATAAAAATTACAATTGCAATACGAATTATTTGGATTAACCGTCACAATAAAAACACAATTTTAATTATTCAATGAGCTCAATATTATACACAGGTAACTAATAATTGTATACACATACAATGTACATAAGATATGAATTTGGAAATTATATTATAATAAAGAAAAAAATACTACACTTAAAGTATATTATACAATTTTCAAATATCATTTATAACTAGGATTGCAACAAAAATACAAATATTGTTATAAAAATATGACATTATATTATAAACGTGTAACTAAACCATTGAGTATAATAAATTTTAAAGATTGAATTCTGTTTTTGAAAAAGTCTATACAACGGATTTTCTAGGATATGTTAATAATAGAATTTCTGGCAAGAGAGTAATATAGCATATTTTGCATATTATATTTGATAAGTGTCTGTTATGGTTGTGCTACTAATTCTATGAGGGTAAAAAGTAAAACCTTTCAGACGTTTTGCGCTGGATAACGTTATTGTCGTAACGATTGATGCGTTGACCGGATGCAATTTCCAAGTGCCGTTGAGCAACGTGAAAACCGCACTTTTGGACGGGTCCCGGGAGGCTTACGCTGAGTTCGCCGGCAGCGAGTCCGTCCGGCTGGTCATATCGGCGCACATACCGCCCGGTTGGTTGTTCGTCATATGCAACGACGCGCACCGTCAAGAGTGTTTTCAGGTAAGTAGATGCACAAAGATGTGACATAATAATATTATTAAATACATGAAAAATAGAAAAATGGATATGCCCATAGACATAATAGACATATGGTTAGGTTAGGCTACTAAAACCAGGCCAACTAGACCAGGAATAATGATAATAAAACTATATAGGCCATTTCTTCTGTACATTAATACGCATTTTACAGTATTAACTCGAATTTTACATTCAATGTCGGTTTATGAAAACTAAGGTTATAAAAAATTGTATTTTCTTATCATTGATTATATAGTGTTTAGGATACAATTAGAGTAGTAATAATAGAATAATATGAGTTCATCCTCAAAAATATTCTAAGAAAATATGAAATTAAAAAAAAAAAAAACAAATTTAAATCAATTTTGAACTTAAATTGAATTATTAAATTATTGTATGGTTTGTAGAGTTGAGTTTGTAGAGTTTTATAAATATGCGAAATCCTTATAAAAATGCATAAAATCCTAAAATATTATGCAGTAAATATTTAAAAACGACAAAATAAGCAAAACACAACTTTGAATACCTATAGAACCGTTATTTCATAAATTATATTTTGGTACAAATTAGCTATTTTTTTAACTAATATATAAAAATACGCTAAAGCATAAAAATAAATATTTGCCCTACTGATAACAGATTTCTGTACAGGTACATTTTTATAAATTAAAAACTTATAAAAAAAAAAAAAAAAAAAATGTTTTCTCTCTAAATTAATGATGCTTTACAATAGAACCCTTTGCGCATCAATCTGTTTTGCAGAAAGATAGAGAATAGCTTCTCAGTATTATTCAATATAGTAAAATCACGAAACCATGATACGAGCATTAAAAAACCATCACTTGCGGTTTTACCATAAACCATAAAATACAATTTGTGTACATTTATACAAATATATAAAAGTTCCGAAAAACTATTCAGTCCACACCTACAACGTATCTAAAAAAGTATTATTATTAAAATCTTTTATGTTTAGTAAAAAACCCGTTTCGAGTTTTCGTGGCGTGTAACCCCTAGGGGTTTTAGATCCCGAGCCGATACGACTGCCGAGAATTTTGGTCGGTTTTACTACAGCGATGTCGTTCCTCGGAAAACGTTTTTCCAATCGAAAAGTTTCGTCAGACAAGCTTTTTTTTTTTAGACGATTTTATACAGATATATACATATATAGGTAGGTATATATAAGGGATTTATCGAATTTACCAGTCCGGAAAACCGCCGAAAACTGTCGTCTAAAGTCCAAACGAAGAAAGTATAAAAAAAGATATTTTAACTTTTGAATACCGTTGGCCGCGTACCTAACACGACAAATCGATTTACTCGAGCCTGCCGAGGGACCCGTATCATCGTCGTCGGCCGCTCGCATTCGTTTTGATGTAGGTTACAGCGAAATCGGTAATTTTGTACTTTTTCTCCCAACAACATCTGTATAATTGTAATGTTTTTATTGCATATTTAAACCCATGAGTAATTGACATCAATCCAATACGTGTTTGTATATTTTGACAATTTTTTTCTAACTTTCAACAAAAAGGAATACGAACTAATGTGTTCTTAAAATATTAAATTAATTAAAAATAAATATATAAATTGTTAAATATGGATATGGAGCCTTTTTATTATTATTATTATTTTTTTTTTTTTTGAGTATATATGTATACCTTTAATAGTTGTTCTGTCAATTTTTTAGTTTTTTTAAATATGGTCATATGACCATTAAACGATTCCGCATATGGCATATATACCTTTCTGTTCACCTGATTTCGTTTTGCACGATTTCACCATACATCACGAATACCGAGTTCACATTAAATTTCGTTACGGCGTTAAAAACTGTCATTGAAATTTAAGAAATCGACTGTATAATATAAAATTATACTAGGTAATGATAGAGTTGTTATTTTTTTTATGAGAATTTCAATATCAAATTTTGACGAAAATCGTAAATATTACGGTCTTTCGAAACACGTACAACTACCGGACTCCGCTCAGAATCGTCTACCGTTAGCGATGATTAATCGTTGCGTACAGCCGATGTACATTAAATTCCCCTCTATATCCTGTACCTTTCCAACTAATCATCTACAACTACAGTGGCCCGCCCGCCGTGCGAATTATGTCCGTCCTTTTTATTATAATCATTACAATCATCATTATTTTTTATTTTTACAAAAACCGTAATTGACAACGTTTATGCGGAATCGTGCGAGTGAAATGTTAAAATGGTATATACTGTGCGGGATCGTGTGTTACCCGAAAAATCAATCCCGCGGTACATTAGTTATTAATTATTATAATAGGTCGGAAACGTAATATTTTCCGAAGCGCGATAATCAGTTACAGCTCGTCATTTCGTCCATACGAATATGCGCGGATCAAAAGGGTACGGGCGCGTACGATAAAATATTGTAACGTTTAGCTCCCGCGTCCAGACCCATACGCCATACTATTTAAACGATTAATTTTAATTTTTTTTTTTTTTTTTTCGTTCTGTTTCAGCAAGTCTTGCAAGGGGAATCCATTACACGGCTATAGCTTTAATATTATACTCACACCGTCACGCGGCATCCGAATTTTTTATTATTATATACCTACCTTTACGGACGCATAATGATAATATGATTATGTTAAACGAGGACCGAAAACGTCGTGTCGTCTAAATACATCCCATATATTATAATATACTCTTCTTTTCCACTACGTTTTGTTGTTTTTTGTCGTTATTGCCGCGGGGTATTTGCGTATACATTGTTTGGGACGAATGGATGGGGGCGAGGTGGCGGAGGTAGAGACGACCGGCTGTAGAAATCCCCTCGGATTTCCGAATCTGCTTCTTTCAACTCTACATACATATATCTAAGTCCCGTTTTCGCTTTGCGATTTTGCGCGCAACAATTGCCCTGTCGTCGTATAATAAAAACGCCCTTCGTGATTTTTATGGGTCGGATAATATTATCATACGCGTTTCCGAAGCATCGTCGTACGCAACGGTGACTTCTTCATCCCGCAAAATCACACTTTATCGCGACAACGTGTGAAAAAGCGAAAAAAAAATGACATACATTGGTGATGGGGGGAGGAGGAGTAATAGTGAAAACGAGAATGTTGTTTAGTTATTATTATTAGTTTTTTTTTTTTACTAGTTTTTAACCACAGTTTTGGGCGTTGTTGTTATAGGTATCCTTAGTAGTACACCGCAGTTTAAAATTTTAACCCGCTTAGAGTTCATTGTGTTTTCATAACTTTCCAAACATTTTAGGGATTGTAAAGGAACGGAATTATTATTAAGTATCGTAGCATAGTTTGTATAATTGGTATCCGATATAATATCAACATGCAAAAATAGAGTTATCAGTGAATACTGATTTTCGAATGTTTGTTTCCGTGATTATATCGTTTATTAAGCAATCATTAAGCTTTACAGTCGTAGTAGGAGTCTATCCTAAAAAATATTATTTCAATGTTACACGACACGAGACTTTAATAATCCGTCGTATCGGATTTTTCGTCTCAACATATTTCGGAGACATTGTATTATATACAGCTATAGTTGTATAATACTTTAGCGGGCGAAACCTTTTCTCGAATAATTTATGGGCAAGTACGTAGTCCGCCCGCACGACTGTACCTCGGATTATTGAATAATGCGATTCTCAAAACGCGTGGGCCGTGGTGTTGCATAACCTGCGCAAGTTAAAAATCAAAAAAAAAAAAAGACGATGTAGCACAACGACAAAAAATAAATAAATCTGTGGCTTGGTGCAAAAAGGGCAAATGTCACATATTTTGATTGGGAAATGGGATTTGCAATTTTAATTCCCCATGAGGTTTTAAGTATTTTATTAAATGTACATGTTTGTGTAATTTTCAATTTTAACAAAACAGCTTAAAAAATAAAATCAACAATTTTTATTTAGAAAATAAAAACTGCAGTTTTTTACATGTAAATTTTTCTTTTTTTCTTTCTAACTGATTTTTTCAAATATTGACATTGACTCTCCTTGCATCAAGCTACAGAAATAAATTTCACTATCGATTATTATTCTTTATACAGGGCAATCGATATGACACACATTATCTCAGAAGGTATGAACTTTTATCGGATTTCTTTTTTTATTACAATTTAAAAAACAAGTAGTTCTAAAATGTTGCATTACGGTTATTTATTTGGGTGAACTTTTGAATTCCAAATAGCCACCTATAATGGAAATTCCATAAAGGGATGAAGTTTCAGTTTAAATAAATTTAAATGTTAAAATTTTTAATTTTCGTCAACTCGTCGACGAAATAATATTTTAATTTTAAAAGGAAGGTAGAGGGGAGTGTAGTAGAACGTCATAATATATGCGGTGGGGGGGCGGAGGGAAAAGAATGTATTGGTTTAACTATGTTTCGAAATTGTTTTCTGTTTGTTAACAACTTTTCAACCAGCAACTTAATCCAATCAAAAAAATAACAACATAGCGTAGTTTTTTGAATAATTTTTAAAAAAATACGTTGGAAAATTGGGAAAATTCAAGGGAAAAATGGTTTGGTTAATTTTTATTTTGTTGCATTTCGGTTAAAAATAATTGTCTAAATATGCAATTTTCAAAGACAACTTAATTCGACATTTCCTGTTATAATACAATTTTCAAACCGTTCTGGTTATTTTAGAGCTATCCATAGGTATTTTACAGTTTCGAGTTTCGTTTTAATTTGTATTCTGTTTTATGTAGACACAATTTTTCGTCGAAACAGAAATGTTTGAAAACTTAAATATAGAGAAAAAAATCATAATTTTAAGTTATATAATTATTAATCAGAATTTGAATTTAGTTTGTTAGTGAATAAATTGAACTTTATATATAAGTTTTTTTTATTTTATAAGCGTGTTTTAGAATCAAAACGTTGACGAAAAGCATACAAACTACGATGTTTCAAAACATGTTTAATCGAACATCGGCCAGACTCATAGTTCATCAGTAATTATTCATCGTTGTATATTAATAAAAATTAAATTGTGCGGATTAATTTATGTATCCTACTACATCTTTCCCCCTAAAACAATGGCACATCTATCGGCAATATCAGCTCTTTTCTAAAATTTATTATATTAGAATACTTTTTTCAGAGGAAAACCCAATTTACACATGGCTTTTCGTTATTTTGCCAATAACAAAATGGAATGGACAGAAAAATAAAATTTTTGTAAAATCACAAGCTTCTTCGCTCCACTCAGAATCTAGAATTATCTAAATGATTTGACGGAGTTGTGCGTGCAGTCAGTTTAGATAACAGATAGTTTGGTATAACATTCTCGCAACCCGATGAATATTGATGTGCAATAATAACTTTTTGTAATTATAGCCATGGCTGAGGAGTGGGGTCATAACAGGAAGTCTGATATTTAGAGAAAATTGCTTATTGTTTTTTTTTTTTTTTTTTTTTTTTTTAAATTAATAATAGGTATACATTTGGACTTTGTGCCTCCCTTTTGGTTTATATTTTTGCGGGGGCTCGTACAAATATAAATTAAATTATTTTATGTATCCTAACTTCTCAATTTTTTTTTTGTTTTTATTTTTATCGGTGTTTATTGCTATTTCCTGCTGGTTTCGAGCGTGTCGACGTGATGTATACGTACACGATCGGTCATAGCAATATTTTATACTTTACGTACCATTGCCGTTGCTCTCGATCTTATAATTACATTGTTTTTGTACCGTAACAATAATAATAATGTTAAATACAAACACAGCAGCTATTCATTCTATCGACTGTATGTATAATGCTTC